CAAAAACACTTACTGCACAAGCGGAGATCTGTGTTTCTTTTGCCACAGACAATAAATCTTTAGTGTCTCCTCTTGCCACGCATCACTCCACTTGCTCTCAGGAGGCACCATACGTCTCTCTTTCCCTCTGCCTCTTCTAGCAAGGTCACTTTCCAGTGATGAAACAACTTTTCCAGAAGGTATAGTGTTCAATAATTAATACCTACAGATAATAGCTTCCCAGAGCAGTGCTTTAAAGCTCTAATGCTCATCACAGACTTACAGCAGGAAGAACCCTTAAAATAGACCTGCGTAGCACGTCTGAAAATATCAGCCTCGGGAACTGTGGGTGCATATGGCTGAACTTACACAGGTACCGACAGACCTGAGCCCTGGTGCCTAAGGAAGCCCAGCCCTTCCTCCCTCACCAGCCAGTGTCACTGCATCACAAGTGTGAGCAGGTCAGGTCACCCTCACACGTGTGTGGTGTCATCTCCTGTTCCTTCCGCCCCTGCACACGTGGGTTCTGCAGGAACAGGGTCCCCGGCATGAGGGTGCTCGGGAAGGTGCCTGACTGCAGGCTCTGAGGGCACTCAGGCCGAGAGCCACAGGTGGGAGACGGGCCCTGGTTCAGGAGTGGCAGTGACCCAGAGCATGGTCCCTCCTACCAGCCATTCCATTACCGCCAAAGTGGCCTTTCAGGCCACCTCCAGTGACAGCAGCATTTGACAGAAGCACAGAAAATACTGTACCTGAGCATGCACTGGAAACACCAGGTTATCAGTAATTTCAGTGTTTCTCCTGGCTCATGGATGGTGCCACCATCTTGTCTCCAAGGAGGCCTGGAGGCATTTGGCTTAGCCCTAAGGCAGTAGGTGAAGCAGTCACTAATAAAACTATTATTCAGAGCCATCTCAGGAATAATGCCCTCCATGCCATGAGTTTCTAACTTAAGAAGTGCATGCCATATATAAATACAGGTGGGTTTGTGTGGGTCATTCTGGGCTGGTGTTAAGATCTGACATAGCTTGAGTTTTGTCTGTGTGTGGAGGTGAAATCTCTGCGCCTGAAGCTCCAGGACAAATGAGAATGGACTTATGGGAGCAAAACTGTTTTATGTTGCATTTCTTTTGCACCAAATGCCCTTGTCTCTAATATTAGAGTCTCACTCTCCAGTTTTCATGCCATAAAAATGGAATATGAACCCCTGGATCGATGGCTCTCTGTTCCCATCTGGTGTTCAGGGCTCACCAGGGGCATCTCTCTCCTTTGTTTCATTACTTGGGATTCACAGTGTCTCTGTCCATGTGCCTCAGTCCCCCCGTCTCTCAGGAGAGCCCCACTTGCTCTGCCAAGAGGACATGCTGCATTTAGGGATGTTTGGCCGTGGCCCAGTGGGAAGGCATGTCCTCCCTGCTGCTGGAGGGATACAGGACACTGATTTTCTCCTGACGTCTTTGAGTCGAAGCCTAATATTACTTTTCTTTCCCTAAGCAGAGAATTTATGGGTTTATAAATCAGGAAGGACTGACATCAAACACACCCTGAGCGTGCCTCAAAGCATTCACAGAATGCCATCTGGGCATGTGGCTCACTTGGAAGGAAAGGGCTTTAATTACAATCAGCATAGGAAATATAAATTTATGGAAAGAGGAGGAGTTCCTTCAGTTTACTTTCTTTTGGACTATTGAAATATATTAAAAGTCAATTTCAGGAAGACCTTAACACTTGTGACCCAAACCACTCACAACCTTTAAAAATCCCAACACAGGATTTCCCTTGCAGTGTGCACCACAGCTGTAATATTTGTCCAGCACTGCAAAATGGGCTTTCCTTTGGTAAAACAGGTTATACTTGGCAGGAATTTAACATCACCTGGTATAAAGTGCTGTTCCAAGCTCCATGGCTCTGTGCTGGTTATAGATTTGGCTCTGACCGGGAGCAGTGTGGAGCAGATACACTTGGGCCTGCTCCCCCCAGGGTCAGGTCTGCAGAGACCAGCCCAGAACTTTAAGGGGAAAGTTGGATGGGAAGGCATATCATGAATCTGGAGGGAAAAAGGGAGGATAAACCACATTTCAGCTTGGTAGGTTTTGCAGCTTTTAAATGCCTGTACACCAAAAAGCAGCTGCCAGGAGCAGAAAGGAAAAATTTGTGGCTTTTCCTTTCTTTCAAGGGAAAATGCGAGGCTGTTGTACTCTGCTCACCAAAATGTAAGGGATGCAGCTCCCCAAGAGCAGGCCCTTGGGCTCTGCTCAAAATGTTCAGCCCTAAATAATCAACTTTCTTCTGGATCATACTTGCTTCCCAAAGGTACCTGTCCATCATTTTACAGCCATTCCAGATTTTAGCAGGTTTTATGTTCAACTGTAATGTAAAATAAAATATCATCCATCTCCTTGGGCACAGAAAGATACAAAACGTGCTATGAGCTCCTGTGTGCTTTGCACCTGCACTTAACCTCTGCTCAGACAGTCATAGTTTGCATCCAGCAAGGAAACTCATATTTCACACCAGTAAAGAACTTCTTGTTTCAGGGGAAAAATGTGATAATGAGCTCCAAGGAAATCTAATCCTTTTTCACTGGATCAAACTGATTTAAGTTGCAGGGTTTGGCTTGCTGGACTAAGCAATAAAAACAGAACAAGACCGTGGGAGAGAAGTGCAGACAGAAATGTGTATGAGCAATAACCATGATCTAAGAAAGAGCAATCCTGAGCCTCAGAGCACCTGCAGTGCCATGGCGGGGAAGCGCTGTCCGAGGAGGGCTGTGTCACCCATCCAGAGGCTTGTGTTCCCATCCCAAGGGTCGTGTTCCCCATCCGAGTCGGCGGGTCAGGGACACTGCTCCTCCTGTCCCGCTCACCTGTCCAGCTGCGGCTGGAGCCTGGCAGGGAGCTGAGCCCACCTGAACTGATCTCATGTAGCGTTTGCCCACCAGTCACAACCGGTTACAGAATTCATTTTGGAGTGACTGGGCAGGGACAGACCCGTGCGCACCCACAGACTCTCAGTGACAGTAGCACTAGGAACTCAATCACTGCTAATTGCACTAACTTCCTTGGAGCCTGCGTTTAAAATACAGGAGGCTGTGACAGAACACATGAAAGCTCAGCAGTCAAGAAATGTTCTGGCGGAGTAAGACTCAGCCAGTTTAAAATGTCAACAACTAAAATGTTCAGGGCTTTTTGTTAAGGCTTTATGGATCCATAGTTCAGAACGGACTTAGGCATGCAAAAACTGATTTCAGAACAAAAATAACTTTGAATTACAGGACTACAGTAAAAAGATCAGAAGCAATAAATATAATTTTTGAGCGCTCTTCTTTCTCTCCCCACTGTCTGCCCCTGCTATGTAGCTGTCACATCCAGCAGCATGTGTGCTGTGGTCCTTCCCAGCTTTTGAAGAGCTGTAAGGGAACAGCCCGCCTTCTTTTGGCTAAGGTTGTATTAAAGCTGATGAGAAAATGTGCACGCACAAAAGGACTAACGTGTGCAACTGCTTGCAGGCTCTTGAGTCCCCATTTGGGACAGGGAGGGTCTGGGTGGGCACATCTGAGCATCCTCTGAACTCCAGCTCACCCTGAGTGAGTGGGTGAGCTTGGGGCTGCCACAGCTCTGGCAGGTGACACCACACCTGCCAGGTGATACAGAAACTTGCTTTCTAAAAATAGTATTTCCAAGGTGTTTTCACATGCTTTTGCTGTTGGTTAGAGGAGCAGAGAGCCTGGTGAAGTCTCAGAAAACCAGCCTAGTTCTGTTCACCTCATTCTGTCACTGTCTCCCATCCCAGAGCCTCTCTGGCTCTGGTCACTTACTTCCATCATCACCTGTCCCTGTTTTATCAAGTGTTTGTATTGATCTCCCCCAAATGGCCGTCGAACCACAGTTTGAACCTTTCAAAACAACCCAGGTCACTCTGGAAGCGCTGGGACCTCTCACTTAAATCTGCAAACCCAAGATTGCCATTTGAATGCTAATCTAGATAAATGGCACATAGAATTGGTCTGGATTAATATACGTATGAACATAAGCAGAGGTATGCGTGTTCATTGCGTGGGACTGTAACCCCTGCGCGAGGTGTTTTTTCATTTCCACCGCATTTCGCTGAGGAGCGTGTGAATGCAAACACTTCCCGGCTCTCCGTGTGAGTGTATCCGTGTGAGCGGTTGCCCATACAGCGATGTATGTATGTGTAAATTGTGTGAATGTAAATATAGATAGGCCATATGTCCCCCAAGTCCCAAAAGAGCATCTCATGTTGATATGTAGACAGTGTGTTAAGGACCTTCCTAATTAATAACCCAGATTAAAAACCTCTTGGCAATCAATTAAGATTAATGACAGAAGTCATTCTGTCTCCCCCTCCACCCGCATCTCAGGCTGTGAAAACCCCGGGTCGGGAAACTTTAATCCTGTTATCTGCTGCCTCCTTCATCTGCAAAGCCTGGAGATTAGCTCAGCAGCCATTCCCGAATCCCAGCCAGCCGCTCGGACAGCTGCCCTGCCTTGGCAGTTCACGGGGAGGAATAATCTGGGTAGGGGCACAGGCCTGGTGTATCAGTCTCTCCTGCAGCCCGCTCCACAAAAAGGGTGTTATGAGGAATTAAGAAATAAAATGTTTGTTCCCTGTGACTCCTGCGCAGTGAAACACACCGTGATTACCAGCCCCTGCCCTGCCCACAGAAAGGTCTCCTTTAGCTCAGCCTGGGGGGCTGCACTGCCCGTGCAGTGGCAGGAAGGTGTGTGACAGCTTTGGCGCGTCCATGTTCCAGCCAGCACTGATGTTCCTTTCTCCGTGGGCACCACCTTGTGCTGCCACGGCCTCAGAACTGACCAGCAGCTTTGTTTGTTCCTCCTCTCACTCCTACCAGTGTTCACAGAGGGATGAGTCCCGAAGGCTCCTTTAAAGAGAGCAGCAGACTCATCTGCACCAAGAAAGGCAGTGCCAAGAGCAGCTGCCTATGTAGTTTGGAAAATATCCCTGTTTTTCCTGACACCAGCACAACATCCTCTCTTCAGCAGGATGGTCCCTCCCACTTCCACTGACTGACAGCAAACCCAGCTTCTATGAGAAGAGCCACTCCTGCCGGGATGAGCACCTATGAGGCCACCAGGACGGACCCTCCTGAGGGCAGCCGCAGCCCAGGTCACAGGGTGAGGCCATGATTCCACTGACCAGGAGCATCCCTCTGGAGGAAGCACTGCTATCCACAGGGTTCAGATCCAGGCTTCTTTTGGCCTTTCAGCACAACAGAACTCTGGTAAATTCAGGATTGATAACTGTGTTAATCTCTTGCCTGTCAGTCACTATTTTAACTAAAGGGGCAGGTGTGTCTTCCACAAAGGAGGACTTTTTTCCTTTAGGGAGGCCACAGGACAAATATTTTCTGGTATTTAGTGCAGTGCTTCACTCAGCAGGATGCATCACTTTGTGCTGGGGACCAATCCTGAACTCTGGCTGAACAGGGCAGACAGAAAGGAATACTCTTACAGGTGCTTTCCTCCACTTGCTCTAACTGTGAATTGAAGAATTTTAACAGTAATACAGGTCTATTCTGGAAGTTTAAGAGACATTTTTGTGCCGGTTAAGCTCTCTAGTCTATACAAACAAATAACCACTTAACAAATGGCAGTGGCAATATTTTAGCAGGAAACATTTAAGGGAAAGTGGTGCTCCAGCTTCCTTCTCATACTTAGTTTTGCATTTCCTTGCAATTGCAGCAATTTAGAAGATCCAATGTAAACATTGACTTGGCTAAGTGCTACTGAAGTTTCTTTTTTAAAACCCTCAGTCGACAATTTCTTGAGCATAATAATTTCCCCTTTTCCCTGAATACACACCACCAAACTACCTCTGAACAAGAAGTGAGCTGATTCTTCCACTGTAACATCGGTTACTGCTGGGGCACTTAGATTTTCAGTCTAGGAAGTGCACTACCTGTAAGCAGGTACAGTAATCTTTCTCCGAGATTACTTGATATGAACATACTAAGATAACTTGTTATTTCTCTGTGCATTTCACCATTTTGCAGTGATTAAAAAGGAAACTAGAGGAGGAAGTGCAGAAGAACCACAAAGCTAACTGGTGACATGGCCCCACCTCAGAGGACTCAGCACTGTCAGTGTCTCTCACACTGCAGGTAGTGCTGGTGGCAGTCACCATGCAGAATATAATGCTTTTGTGTAATGCAGAGATGCTCAAAAAGTAACAGTTTAAACAGATGTTTGTGTTAACTCTGAACCCATTAATTGCAAAGAACCTTTAAAGCAAATACTAATAGGCTTAAAACTAAAAACAAGTACGAGTGTTTTCCTTTTTAATAGGCTGTTTTGTACATGAAAGTACCAGCTGAAAGCATTCTGCACTTCTGCTCTATTCTGATTCTTTTAGAATGAGCTATAATCCTTTCTCCCTTTTTACCCGTTGCACCTATTTGCACCCTGATAGGGCAAAATCTTCACTACAACTGCCACAGGCTATTTGTGGACTTAAAAGACATTTGTGTGCATAAATGTGCACAGGATCAGAGTCTCAGCCACCATCGTATTGCGACAAGCTCAAAGAATCCAGAACCCTGATCACCTTTTGGTGCTAAACTATGAGTTGGAAAATAAACACAAGGATTTAGAGGAAAGACCAGAACCCTGGGGCTGATGCTGTGACTCTGCATGAGGCTGTGTTCCCAGGCAGCCCTAGACTCCTGGGAAGTGGGGTTCGGTACAGACCCCTAGACACTGAACTGGTTTATGAGAGTACCCCAAACTGCTGTGGCTTAGTCTTCTTTGCCCCTTTAATAAAAAAAAGAAGAAAGTCTAGCTAGGAGCATGGACGCAGGGTAATGCATCATTTATAAATTACCTTGTTAGTGCAGAAAACAACACATGGCTCTGCAGCCGAAATCTCCTGCTGCGGACTCGCTCTGTTTGATGGGAGCCCTTCAAAAGCATTGGTGGCTTAATGGAGGCAGTTTGTGGGGACCTCGCTCCGTACCTGCTGTCCCTGTGCCTCGCCGGGAGCTCGGCGGCAGCTGCCGCGGCGTGCAGCTGTCTCTGAAGTGGCTGCGTGTCCTCAGCCCCAGCACAGGCAGCCTGCATTGGATCTGTGTTTGTGCCTGAGGCGAGCTGGGGAGCGCAGCTGTGTCCACCCCGCGCTACCTTTGGTGTTGGGGCCCCCGGGCCCCGCGCCGCCCCGACCTGCCCCACGCGCTCCTGCAGCTGCCGCCGCCCGCGCTCCCACGGCGCCGGGCCCGCCACAGCTGTGCCCACAACCTGCCCGCTCGCACCTGTGCCGTGCCTGCCTCCAACAGCGTGGCTCGGAGGACTTCAGCCACCATCAGAGCCTCCCGGAGCAGCTCCGAGCCACCCTCGGCACTGCCGGGCACGTGGCACCAGTGGGACAGGACAGGGAGGCAGGAACAGCTTGCTCTGCTTTGATACTTCATGCCTAAATTGCAACTGCTTGATCAAGGACTCAAATTCAGCAATGAATTCTTCTACAAATGCAAGTACTGAGTTCTTCAACAGCAAAAGAAGGAAGATTAAACAGAACAACTCCATGGCTGCTGTTTCCAAGGTAAGTGTTGCGTGTCTCGCCGAGCACACACATGCACTGACACAAACTCAGGGGTGCACCATGGCATCCCTACTCAGCACCCTAGGAACAAGGAAAAATATGTCATTTTTTCCCTAAGATACTCAACACCATGCAGACAGAAATGGCACTCTTGCAGTGCCACAGGTCACACCCGACCCACCATTTGGTTAGTACAAATCCCACTCCTTTTTCTAAGAGCTGTCTCTCTGCTTTCCACAAACCAAGGTGCTAGCCAGTGTTCCTCCTGTCAGGCCCAGAGAAGTCAGGTGTCTGACTGCACAATGGCTCAGCAAAGCCTTCTCTAAAGGCAATCCTTACAGTAATTCCCTGCCTTTTAGGGTCAGAAATCCCCAAAACAGGGCCCGACTGACACTTTTTTTAGCCTTTTCAGGCACCACTTCTGCTGTGTTCCTGTTTACATTGAGTTTACCTGTTAAACTGTATTGTGCCAGGTATTTGGTGTGTAGATTCGCTGTTGTTAATGCTGCTCCATGTCACACGCATCCTTCATGTATACAGTGAATAACTAGCCAAGGTAAGAATGCTAACACTTGGCCATTCTGCTGCTTCCACCAGTTGTCTTAATTAATTCTCACCTTTTCTTCCTTTACAACAGCACTGAACTTCATACCAGGAAAATAATCAAAATTCTCATTACCTCCCATTCTACCACAGGTAACTCCTCCCCCTTAACCCCTCTCATTCTTTTATGTCATCTTTATGTTGTATGTTGCATAAACAAGGTTCCTGCACATTTGTGCTCTGTGGTACTTGTGATTGTGATCTCTTGCCATCCCATTTAAAGGGAAGCATTTGTTCCTGTGGCTCTTCCCAGGTGCCACAACCAGCAAGCTGAGTGATCCCAGGAGATGTGAAATGCCTTGGTGATCAATCAGTCCCCAAGATAACTGCTGACATTCAAAGTGATACTCTTCTAAGGACCAGCCATCAGAAATACCCAATCTGGCCTCACTTCACTATCAAAGGTGCAAACAGCAGCTCTGCATCCCCATCAGAGCAGCCTTTGGGGGAGGCCTCTTTTTCTGGGGTCACGAGTGTCTCAGGAGAAAGGATGGTCTGAGAAACACATTTCCTCACCTTTTGTTCTGTGAAAGGTGCCTTTGGTAGGGAAGTGCAAACCTCCAGGAAGCAACTTGCATGGATGTTACCGGTGTCACATAAATTTGATCCAGTTTTAGCATGCTGATAGGCAGCCTCTGCTCTTACAGCCAGCTGGTTCTGAGAGAGATTTGGGTGTCTGCACAGAGTTATTACCCTGCACGAGGTGTGGGCTGTGTTGCTGTTTTCCAGCTCCCACCACCATTCCCTCTGCCTTTGGGAGATCTGCATTGGTGCCGCGTCTCCAGGCCAGTGTGATGCACCTCTCACTGCAGTGATTGCCCAGTGTGTTACTTTCTGCAGTGCCACACTTTTGTCTCTCTCTTGCCGTGCCCAGAGCTGCCCAGCCCAGCCGTCCCTTGCCCACCCCGCGCCGCACACCAACCTCGTCTCCTTGCTGGGGCCGCATCAGCGAGACTCTGTCGTACTGCCGCCGCAGCAGCGCCCACAGCGCGTCAAGCCGGCCCTGCGGAGACAGCACGGGCGTCTGTCAGCGGGGAGCACACCTCACCTGCACCGGGACTGGCCACAGGGATCCCAGGGACACCAAGGACACAGCCAGGTCAGCACAGTGTAAGCCCGGGCTGCGTCACCCACAGCACGCTGCGGTGCTGCTCCTGCCCACCTGGAATGCCAGGAAGGGCACTCGCCTAACGCACCTGCTCCCTGCTCGGAGCCATCTAGGAGTTGTGCTCGGTCTGCCATGGCTTGGACTTGATTGCCACATGTCCATATAGAGTTTATCCCACGTGTGTGTGCTTGTTTTACAGCACATACTCAGGCCCTGTTGGGCAGGACACACACCAGCTCTGCTGCGAGTCAGGGTGGTTCCAGGGCTTGCCCGTGTGTCTGGACAACATGGCTTCAGGCTTGCTGGGGGTCAGAAAGGACTGACAGGGAGTTGGGAAGACAGAAGTATCCCTGCTCCCTGCTACACCTGTGTGTCCTCTGCTCTTACCTCTTAAAGCAAGGTATTTACAGACCCACCCTCAGTATGTCAGAAGCGCTTGTGACGGGTTTGCAGGTGACTCAGGGCACTGTTATTATGAGCCAGGAAAAACGATTCACTTTCCGTCAGATTTCTTCCATTACGTTGTTTTATGTAATTTTTTGCTTTTCTTGGTTTGTAATGAGTATGCGTGTTTAAAACTTAGTGTTAACAGCTATAAATTGTGTAGTTTTGGGCTTAATTAGCTCTACTTTGAGATAAACCAAATGCCAAGGAAGCCCTCATAGATTTTAATGCTCTCACTGTACAATATGTCCCTTTCTGGGGGAAGGCAAACAGAATGTGGCAGTAATGATCAAGTACTGCATTTAGGGCTAAAAACTGCTCCTGCCATTCATGCTGAGTAGGTGTTCCCTTTGAGAATAGCACATCACACTTGAATGGGAACACTTGGAAAATACTGTACAGTTCAGCCTGCGTAAGGCTGGCAAGACAGACAGAATCCAGCCTTTATACTAAATCATACCAAGGACTGAAAAGATTACCTTGATTGGCGTGTACCACTTCTGCTGCATGGCTGGTGAGGTAGGCTTTGGTTTAGGTGGTTTAGGGTGAAAAGGTTCTTCTGGTTCTTCTGGGAGTTTCACCACAGCATTCTTTGCTTTTTCCAACCTGGCCCCTTCTTCCGTGGAGCCTTTGTCACCCCAGCGCACCTGAGGAAAGGCAGAGTTCAGGTGTGAGTGCACTGCATGCACAGGGCAGGGAAATGCTGCAAGTAACAGAGGGATAAATTTGGAAGAAGTTCTGGATAAACAGGAGGGGAGGTACTGAGGAAAACATTACCTCTTCATTATTCTTAGTTAAATATATTTGTAAATGAGTCTCTCAGTGGTGAAAAATCAAGAAAAATTCTGAAAGAAAATTCCACCATGCCTCACACCGGCTGTACAGGAGAAAGGGAATCTGGGAAGCCTTCTCTAAGTAAGGATGTAAAAATCTCATTTCCGGTTCTGATTTATCCTAAAATACCAGACCTTAATCTGGCACCGATCAGAGCTGACATTTCTGTCAGCCAGGTTTCCTAACCCAGAGTGTTTGTTGAGAACCCCAGTGTAGATCAAAGGTGATGCTTGGGCACATTTGAGCAGAAGCTCCTTGAACCTGCTCAGATTTCCACGTTATTCTGCAGGAACATACATACTGGAGAAATGCAGGTGAGTAGTCTAACCTGCCTAAGTGCATGTAGAACATGTAGCAATGTGTATTTTAATCACTGCTGCAAGTATATAAAATACATACAAAGAGTTCAGAGAGAAGGAAACCTGTGTTATCTCAGTTGGGCATACAGCATCCCACTTCCACAAGGCTGTACTCACTGCACTCTGCAGCAGAAATACAGGGAAAACCTTCCCTCTACGAGATGATCTGTCTTGCTGAAGGAATCCTATTTCACCTTGTGACTGGAAGCACCATACAGTGATCTGAGCAGGTATGTTTGCTGTATTGAGCAAAGAAACAAGCCTAGACAAGGCTGTTCCCCTCTCAGCCCATAAGGAACAGATAAAAGCTATGGCAGGAGTTCGAAAGTCCTTCGTGAAACTGGCCTGGATTATTTCAGCAAGGCTTTCTATAATCATGCTATTTGCTATGATCTGGCCTGCAAGGAAAATCTCAAACACTTGTGTCTTTCACTGTGGTCAATGGTGGTTGTTACATGGTTGTTAGAATGTATTTTAAACACCCTTAAAACCACTTAGAGATAGAAGGTGGATCCCTCACTGATAAAATTACCTTCTCCTTCGGATTAAAGCCACTTCACCCAGAGGAAACCAGGATTGGTGAAGTCTGACAATCCAATTTCGACATAAAATGTATTGACTGTAATGAGTGGGGTCTGGCAGTGCCATCACAAAACTTTAAAGCAATACCAAAAGACAGAGCAAGAAGAGCAAACAGCACTGCCTAAGCTGTGGGACTGCCACAGAGGAGTGAAGCTAGTGGGGAAGGCAGGAGTGGATGGGTAACTGCCCCAAAAGGAAATATAGGAGCAGTAAGGAGAAGGGTGCTGGATCATCTACTCCTTTTCTCCATGCAGGGAAGCTGCGAGAGCAATCAAGTTGCTGGAGGAACAGCAGAAGAACAGAGGACAGAGAAGCAGTGAAAACCAGACAACTGTGTTGCCACACAGACTGCAAACAGGGAAGAAATGTCATGACTAGTGCAGCAGTTTTGTTGCTGGCCACAGCACAGAAACCACCTCTAACTGCCAGGTGAGGAATGACCTCCTTTGGGGACTGTGTTTGCTTTCTCTCTCTTCTCTGCCCTGCATGCTCTCCTGAGCCAGGGAGAGGTGTGAGGCCTGTCCTGCTCTCCCAGCAGCCTGAACTGAGCCCGTTTCCCAAGCCCCTGTCACTGACACTGCAGGGCAGAGGTGAAGCTCCCCAGTCAAACCCTGAGTCACTCACCATGCATGCCAACCAAACCTGTCAGTGCTCTGGGGTGCCAGAGAGGGACAGCACCACAGCCCCACAGAATGGGGGCCCTTCAAAGTCCCGTGACTGCACTGGCACCAGTTTCAGATGGTTCACATCTTTAGCCCTTAGTCCTTCACAAAATTCCTACCACAGATGAAAAGCTTTTCTAACCTAAGCATAATGTTCTGTTCTCATTGTATTTTTGCCATGGGCTGAACATGCATTTCTGTGTGGTCCTGATTTTACTTGTGTTGAGGAGGTTTCTGTCAGGTTTCTGTTCCATTGTGTGAGATCCCATTTACAGACTGGAATGGCTTAAACCCTGGAACCCCTTCTGGAGCCTATCATGGCTCCCCTCAGAAATCCAGACTTGTAATTCTTTGTGTTGGAAAGCATTTGCTAGTTTGCCTCTGAAAAACACTGCACAAAATGGTTTTTTTGTGAAATCTGAAGCTTTTAAATTAGCAATTCTGAACTGCTGAAGGAAATGCATATAAGCAACACAGCTTCAAACTTGCATGTTCTGATGCTGCATTTAAAAAGATCTAGAGCAAAACTGATTCTTAGGCCAATACCTTTAAAGTTTCATCAGGACACCTCAGGATGGCCTAGGTGGGTGTTTCAGAGAGAGACAGCTTCCTGGACTGCAGTTAAAAACTGCTTTGCACATTCCATAGAGGCTGACTTGACTATAAAACCTGCCATAAGGATGTGCCCATAAGGATGCACATTCTTCATTCTGTTTTAATTAACATGATGCTATCATGTCTCTTCAAAGACAGGCACTGTTGTCGCTGCGAGTCCCTCTGAGATCAAGCCTCTCCTCAGCGTCACCATTGTCAGCGCATTTGGCTGGCCCACACTTGGGGGACTTATGTTTCGCTGTAATTCCTTCCAAAACATGCAGAAAAGGCTCTCACTCTCTCTTTCTCATTAGCTTGATGGAAAGAGCATGTCTTGAGGCAGCTATTAAAAGTCCCAGTCAAATGGAACTACTGAAAGCTGTTCTTTCAGAGGCAAGGTCAAAATTGCTCGATATGGTAAAGAATTTTCCAGGGCTCATGCCAGTGGGAAGACAGGCACACATCATGGCCTTGTATTTTCAGTACACTTTCAGTCTTTGTTTCCACACTTGCAGCCTCAGAGAGCTCGGGTTTGAGGGTGATCACCAGATTATACCAACCTCCATCCTCTTAATTCCCCCAACTCCTCTTCCACCGTAGTAGGAAGCATCCACTGTAGGCCACTTCTTGGTAGGCAAGGGCTCCTGTTCTTCTTCCTGTCAGTACATTCAGATGATATTTACTTCAAAAAGATACCTACACACACACACTAAATGTCTTTTCAGTATATTTCACTGGAGTTCACAGAGACTGAGTTTGCCACTGTTGGGTGTGAAAGGGGCACAAACACTAGCAGAGTGCACCACCAGTGCATTATTGCTCCTAGGTGGGAGAGAAATTCCCTTGTGAAGGTTCTTAGTGTCTGGAATGCCAAAGCTGGGGGAAAATGCTGCTCAAGTCCTACATGAATCTTTAGATGTTGTACAAGGGTGATTCAATCTTTCTGCTCGCACTGCAGAACGGGAAAACAATGTCCAACTATCTTGGGATAAAGGCTCTAAATGTCTCTGTCACTATGGGCCTTAATTCAGGCCACACTGAGCTGAGACAGAGCAGAGACCTGGGCTTTGGCCACCACGTTCTCAGCAGCACCCAGACAAGGGTACTGGATGCGCAGAGTGCAGGGAAGCACGGGAGTGGCTCCATGTAAGCAGTGTGATGAGATTAGAACCATCAGACTGTACCTCTTTCGGGGCTGGTGGAGGTGGAGGGGGATCCTTGATGACCTGAAAGAGCCAAACATAGAGAAGCATAAGGAGCTGCACTGGCAGCGGCCAAAAGGCAAGAGCACATGGTAAGAGTGAACTGTTTCCACCCATGCCCCCCATGTCTGCTGCCAAACTGGCAGCTGGCACTGCCTGGTCCCCAGGGCATTGACCACCAAGGCCTTCTGGAAATTAACACCATCCATCTGACAGAACATGCCATCCCTGGCCTGCAGACACTCTGGGCAGACGTGTCTGCCACTGCGCTTCCTGGCCGGATGAGCCTCAGCCACCCTCAGTAACAGCCAGTGCCGAGACCCCATGGAGTTCATTAGCGATCCCGGAGGAAGAGCATCCGAGGCCTGTGTGAGGGCCTGCGTGGCCGTGGGCCAAGCTGCTGCTGCTGCTGCTGCCATGCTGCTGGGTAGTCTCTGGCCCAGTGACAAGTGTGAAATGCCTTCTGGCAGCTCAGGCTTCACCTCTGGACGTCCCAGACGCTTCCGCGGCTCTCACAACTGAGGCCTGCAGCTCCTGACTGTGCAGGGCCTGCAATGGAGTCGTGCTCCAACACTTTTGACACTGCTGCCAGGATCATCTCTTGCACCTCTTTATTTAAATCTCTCCCTACAGCCTCTTCCTGTTCCCTTTGTCACATCCACACTGTAAAGCTCAGGGAGTTCCCAGCACTGACAGTCTCGGTAGGGTAGAGGGAGGCAGGGACCCCCTTCAGTGATTCAGGTGAAAACTGAACTCACAGCTGCTCCTCCACGAGAAAAGCAGATGTCTAAGCTAAAAATAAGTACTTTGGTGACATCGAGTCATTTTTTTGGGCTTGAATATTGCCTAGAAATGACTAAAAACTACCTCATGAATATAAAGGAGTCTGTTTCTGCTATGCCTTTGTATGATACAAACACACCTAAAACTGTCCATGCTGACAAACACCTAAATCTCCTAATACAGACAGGATTAAGTACCTTAATTGAAATATGCCTTATTTTATCCACTCTGTGCTATTAATTATAGAACTTTAATTTACCACTGCCTATAAACAATATCACTGCAGAGATGGTCAGCATAATACATGAAAGAAACAAATTGACCAATAATCAAGACTTTTCTGTCTTGATTTACATTTTAACTCGCAGTGCCACCAAGACAGTTACTGGTTACTGCCTTAACAAGCTATGACTTTTAGCACTACATACAGGAATTCTGCCCAGTAGAACTAAGTCGTGGCACTCTTGGAACCAGTTTTCCACAGCACTCCAGGTTTAAGATATGGAATTGTTCATAAGGCAGGCTCAGAGTGCTTTGGGCAGATTGGAAAGTCAGCTATGGATTTTAACCACACTTCTGTTTGCTGCTATGATGTTGCAAAAACTTGCCAGAAATTATTTTTCTTTAAATAGTTCTCCATACTTTCTCTTCCCACTCATCAGGAGTTTCCAGATTACTTAGCAGAAATCAATTGTTTAATTAGTGAAACATTCCTGAGAGATACCTGGATGCTGAGCAGGATTTTCCAAGTCAATTCAGAGACTGGAAATGGTAAAACAGGACTTTTGCTCTATGAAGGGCCACCTTATCTCACTTAATTCCTGTCCTTATTTCCCTTTTGACTGTCTCTAACCATTATCTCCAGTAATTTATTTCTCTGCCAAGCCTGCAAGCTGCACAGAGGAAAGGCCTCCTAGGCAGCAGATTTATATAAATCCACATGAAGTGGCATTGTCACTCTGCTTTCTATAGTTGTGTTACTCTGAAACCTTGCAGTCTGAGCACAGGTGGCTTTGCCCAGCAAACCTCTCCATGGTGTGGGATGGAGTTCCCATGGGCCCTGTGCCCATTGGAATGTAGGAATCACAATTTCCAGCCCAGAGAATCAAGGGAAACCTGACTTGTTGACTTCTCTGTGGCTTCCGAAGACAACAGTCAGTGGCAGCTTTTGCTTGACTCCCTGAGCAGAGGACCCTAAACCTGTGCCAGCTCCTGAGCTCCCTGAAGTTTGAGCGGAAACCTGATTTGAAGCCAACAAATCCATTAATTAGCTGTTATTTCTAATGGCTCCAGAAAATGAAACTTGTTTTAAAAGTGACAGTGGTGTGAGAAAATAATCTGCTTTGAATAGCAGCTCCTCACCCCGCTGACAGCACTGGAATGTCAATGCCTGCATCCTTATGCTTCCACAGGCTCACACACTCACACACTCGAATCACACGTGCACACATAAGGATTATTTTCAGTTGCATGATATTCCAAGTGAGATCAGTAGAAAGCTGTTTATAAAGAATAGAAATCTGAGGCACCTGTGCAGCTCTGCATGGAGCTGCATGCAGAACTGCACATAGGAAGATCACGGTATTGTAAATTAACTTTTCCTGAGCTGGATTCAGATTGTTTAAATGCAGAAGCCTCTGAGAAAACTGCTGTCTTATCATCCCCATGGAGAGATGGGCTGCTTCCTCGTTTTGTTTTATCATCAGCCTCTCCAGGCAAGGCTCCATCTCATTTAGAGAGTTGCAAAGAATGAAGGTTTGAGTTTGGAGAAGAGCCGATTTCTTTAAAAAAAAGAAGAAGAAGTTGGTGCTTGAGGCAGCAGTGCCTCTGATCCACTCATTAACACTTCCCCGCCGCTCCGTGATGTGGGCATTAGGAGATGTCAGCACGGAGCCTGCAGCCAGCTTGCTGCGATCATATGTTCCATAGCGAGGGACGAGTGACAGAACTGTCACACTGACATCCTGTAAAGGGCGGGAGGAATAAGGAAAAGGAAGAGGAGTCCCCCTGCCCCACCCTGGGAGTGTCCATGGGCCTCACAGCACAGAATGCTGCCGAGACCGAGTCCTGGCCAGGACGGAGCTCGGCCCGTGGGCAGGGGTAACGCACCCGCCTGGCTCCGGACTCTTGTTCTGCCCACAAACACCCTGTACCTCTTTCTTCTGTCACATTCTGACTCCTCTGCTCCTTTGTCCCAGGAAACCAGGCACTGCCAGGGAAGCAGACCCAGAAGGAAGGAAGAACAGGTCATGCCTGGGCCTAATGCTGCCCCTCTCCTTGAGGACACTGCCCTGAAGCCCAGGACTACAGAGCCACAAGGGGCCCTTCCAGGTGATGTCCGAGCCTCAGGGGCAGCAGAGAGGGGCAGGAACAGAGGCACAGCACAAGAACCCAAGGAGCAGCCAGCAAGCCCAAAGAAAGGGTCAGTATTTGGCAGTAGGTTCAGTGCAGTAGCATGTGGGTTTCAGTATCGTAGCAGAGGCCTAAAATTACCTTTTCTTTTAAAGAAACAAATAGTATCCATGAGAGGTGGGAGGAAACCACAGAGGACATGGACACTTGAAGTGCTGTGGTTTTGTATGGCTGGAAAGTAATACTATAGAACTATGCATTGGTTTGTCTTTTATTGTAAGATTTGGGCTTTTGAAACCAGTAAATGTGAAGCTGGTTTGTGAATCGAGGTTAGACAGTTATTTTAAATTATGAAAATAGGAAACTTTCTTCTTACTGATTTCCAGTGTTCCTTTTCCACAGCAAGGCTCATGATATAAAGTGGGAGCAAAGTGACTGACAGAAACCTCCCTGTATTTCTGATGTTGGGCCTGTGCCGTGGAGAACGAGACACGAGAGAGGCTTTTTATTACAGAAGAGGTCATTGTTCTCGTCTCAGGAGCCCCAGACCGTGAGGGTGCAGATGGAGGCTGAGGACTTCCTGCCCTCACACAGCTTGGGGCCCCCGGACCCCCCGGATTATGGGAGCTGCACATGGTCAGGTGAGAAGGCCAGTTCCTCTCTGCCCCACATTCCACAGGCCCCAGACAAGACCAGGAATACAGACCAGCCCGGAAGCAATCTCTACTTCCCAAGTCCTCTGTGCTGTCGTTGAGCTGGATGAATAATAAACTTTCCCCATTTAACCCCCCCACCAAGGAATGGCAGGAGTCAGTGCTGAGCACTGCTGCTGCTGGGGTGAGGATAGAGAGCACACTCGGATAAAGAGATGGATGTGTGCAGGGATTATGAAGACGATAAGGGATTTCCAACTTGTGAGCCCATAATGGACTACAAATACCAATTTAAGTGACAGCACTTTTAAATTGGTCCTTGATTTCAGGGCAACATCTGCACACCATTATGGTCACCCTATCTCCAGGAACAGCACCATGCTGGTGCTGGTTCCCACACGTGCAGCTCACAGGCAGGCAGGGGCTCTGTCCAGAGCGCAGCCCCAGTGCTGGGGCTGGTCTCCCCATCCCCTTCCTGCCTGTCACAAGCCCCCCACCCCAGCTGGCTCACGTCCCGTGTTGCTCCCCTGTTTCCTGCAGGATCTGTGTTTCCCACCCCTGAGTCCCAGTGCGGTGGCTGTTCCCCACGGTCTGTACTCACCACTTTGCAGCACAGGGGCCAGAACCACCAGAGCAGGCCGAGTGCCACCAGCAGCAGCAGCACGAGGACGGCAATGAGCGCTGCCACACCACTGGACTGCAGAGAGAGCAGGGACAGCGTCAGCACGGGCTGCACAACTCTGCCTGGCTCACACACTCACCCCAAAGCCCAGGATTAGTTCTGCTCAAGTCAGGGGTGCATTCTCACGTGAAACCAATATAAAACTGATACTCCTGAGATCGGACTCAGGCCAAGCTGGATGAAAAGGGAGAGTGCATTGACTGCTAAGGAACGAGCCATTAGACACAGGCAGGGGAAGTCTCCTAAACCTGTGGATGAGAAGTGCCCTTCTCCTCCATGAGGACACAGGTCTGTATGGACTGGGGGTGAGGGGTGGATTTTAAGGCATCTCCACTAACAGTAGACATCCAAGGCTTTTATGCTGATCGCCCACACACCTGTACAGAGTGTGGCACACTAACTCCCTGCAGCAGTGCTGTTTGAACCTGGAACTCTGCAGGAGTGCTCCTGCTTCCAGCAACACTTGTTGTAATGGAGAACTGAGCAGCCCAACTCCCCCACACCCCACACCTCCAACCCACTTCCTCTGGCACTTTTATTCCTATACTTGGGGTTTTAGAAAAATACTGACAGAAACGCAACAGTGACCTTAGGAAAACAGAAGTTATTCAGACTTCAGGTGGCAAAAAAGGAAAGGAGTGACCCAGAGAAATGCTGAGGGTGGAGTACAGCGTGAGTAGTTCTGTCCCAGTGAGAAGGGTTGTACTGGAGGTGGAACAGAGCCGTATCCCACGACCAGGTCGGTGCAGTGAGGCACACGGGTATGATGGGTGCCTCAGTGCCTAATGCTGTGTATTTTTGTTTGTTTTCACTGCAGCAATGTGTGTTTGCTGGGAGGCTGCAACTTGTAACTCATCTCCCAGCCAGCCATCAGCTGCTCAGCTCCCAGAATTAGTGAGCAGTTCTAGCAGTGACCCATTTCTGGAGCTGCCCATCTGCTACTATGGAAACAGCAGCTCCTGTGTGGAGCTGCCTTCGCTGCAGCACAGGCCAAGAGCAGAAACCAAAAAGAGACAAAAAGGGCTGATGAGAAGCACGGCAGTTCTTCCTGCCCATGCACATCTGTACCCCTCTGCTTCCTGCCAGTGCAGGCTGTGACCACAGAGCAGCACAGTGGGAAGGCCGTGCTCAGCACTTCACTCTGATCTGCTCTGCATCAGGGCTTTGCTGTTACCTCTCTGTGCACTCCCAGCAGCTCTTACAGAGGCACAGACTCACCATGTGCTGCCTTCTCTGCAAGGGCTGAGGTAAAGGCAGTCTTCAGCTGGGCTGCAGCAGGCTCCTGGGTGACTGCCCTCAGTCACCGTGCTTGGGTGTAAGGCTGGGATGTTGCCCAGTAAACTATGAACTGTGAACTGGGGAGTGTGTGTTCCTTCAGCTCCCAGCTCAGTCTGGCTTTACCTCCTCAAACCACAGGGCTGCACTGAGGCTCTGATTTCTACTGCACCAGTACTGAGGTTTTAAACGAATAGAAGAAAAATGCCATTTTTTCTCTTTTAGGTTACTGATCTACAGGCAAAAGCAATCCTGTTGGAGAAATGCAGGCTGACGAGCAGAAGGGACTGTTCTCCGTGCTCCACGCCTGATGGGAAAGCTGCTCTCTCATCACACTTCAGATGAGACACATTTAAAGGCACACGGAGCCCATGCACAGCACGTGTTAAACACTGGGGGCTTGTGTCTCCCTGCACAAATCCCAACTGTCCTGCCCACGTAATGGAGAGCAGACATGCAAGACTAGAAAATTGTATTAATCTATTGATTGTATAAAGGTACTAAGTTCAAACAGTCCCTCTCTGCATAAGTGTGTGGTTTGTCCCAGAAGCAGTTTTAACTCTTTTCCATAACCTGTGATCAGACTCAGCAGGATGTTCACCCTGCCTTACCCCCAGGTGTAACTGGGGTGCTCCGGCCTGTGCTTGGACTGCCTGTCTCCCCAAATTAACAGAGTTAAGAGCCTACACTCGTTACTCAGGCTCCAGAGTTACAGAGCATCAGTACCCTCCTGCAGGACTGTAACGGCCCTCCACACCCAGGCTGAAGTCCCAAGGTTCTGCCTACTCTGCTCCCCCTCCCTCACTCAGGGAAGCCAGGCTGAAATGGGACCCCCGGTGACTGTGTCACACCTGCCCCTTGGGACGTGGTTATATTTACAGTGAGCAGGTCTCTGAGGGCAGGGAAGCCTCCCAGTATTTTGAAAGCCACAGCTTTCCACAGGGAAGTGGAATCAGAGATTCCCTGCACTGAGAGGTCCCGCAATGGCCAAGCCCTAAGAGAAACGGGATTTGGGAATTTTACACAGGATTGTGGTGGTCTTTTACTTACACACTCCGAAGCAGTGATGGTTAACGAGCTGGACATGAAAGACTGGCCTTCCTTCAAACTCACCAAAACCTCCAGGGTTCTGCAAAGAGAGAGAGAAAAAACATGAGCGACCGTGGAGCAGTCAAGAAAGGCTCACACCTGCTCCAGAGGCACCTATATCTGAAGCCTCTGCTCCACAGAGAGTGTCCCCAGAGGGGAAATGGAGGCCTGTGCTTCTTCTTGTTTGGGAGTAAGTTTGGTCTCCTTGACAGAGCTATATGAGTAGAGACTATCCCTCCTCTTTTTCGTGCAGCATAAAATACTCCCAAAAGTTTTACATAAAATAAATTGAAGTTCAACTGTAAAATCGGCATTGTTTTGTCTGTTCCATAACCATCTCTTTAGTCACATGCAGGCATTATGGATAAAAATGTCGGATAATTATAGATGGTCAGGACTTGCTATAAATAGCCCCAAACACTGCATACAAATGGTATGTGGTTTACATTTTACAAATTAACCCTACAAGAAAACAACACATGGTGGATGTTAAACAGAAGAAGACTCTTCTCTGGCTTGGATTCCCAGGATTCAGACAGTTTATATTATGCATAGATGTAATTAAATAAAAATATAGATATCCATGAACTAAAATGATTAATCATTTATACCATTCTTACATGTCATGAGTTTTTATTCTGGCACAAACGCTTTAGTCAATATGGAGTTCAAAGCTATTTTAACTAATTTGGCTAATTTCTTCTTCATTGGTAGCAAAAATGAAGTGAGTTGCTTCCACTAAACTAATTTTTAAATTATCTGTGTCATGAATAATTGATCCAACAGAAAGAATAACTCTAATTTCTTTCTAATTATTACTGGAATAAGTGAATCAGAACAGATAAAAAAAAAATCTATTCTCTTGCAGCACACTAAATAAAACAAACTACACCAGAAATTTTGTCAGACGTGAATTTTTTTAAGTGTGGTGCTTTTTATTATTTTTAATTCCAGTGTTTTGCTTTGGCACTGCAATGAGGAATGCTGAGGGAAATTCCAGCATGAAGATTCTGCTCAGGTTTGGCCAAACACTCCCCTGATTGCAAGGCAGGAGTGTTTCCTGCCTTCCCTGGGGGAGAGCAGGACCCCCCTGTCGAGTTGCTCACACACTCCTGCAGCCTCCCTACTGGCCCTGTGTGCCCTGGCAGCCTCCTGAGTCCTGCCTGGAATGTCACTAGTGAGGAATCAGGCTGTCTTTGCTACGAAATGGAGCAAAACAAAAACCTGCGACACATCTGGATAAAACACGTAACCCCTGCTAAAGAAAAGGATCGTTCCCAGGTAACCTGGGGATCTTGACAAGTCCTTGAGCTCGCTGGGACGTATGAAAAATTGGGTATAATAGCAAAGATTTCCAAGTGGACTAGAGCCCATGACTGCACCTTACTGTTTGGAACACAGAGCTGGGATACATAATTGTTAATAATTATAATACATAATAGCTGGGATTGCATTTCCCAGCTCCAGTGCCATGTGCCACCCTGTGCCTGCAGCTGTTTGTCCCCCAGCTCCCGCTGTCAGCGCGCTGACAGATCCCAGGGAGCAGGCTCACTGAGCAATGAGCTCCAGCACAGGCACACTGCGGGAGAACAGCCCCCTGCCCAACCCACTCCTGTCCTGATACACCGCTGCAGGGATGAGCCACTGGAGATGTCACTGGAGTTGATCATACCCGCTCAGCTCTGGAAGCCACAGAGTGAACTCACACAGATAATTACCTCATCTTCAAAAGGATGAACCTGTCAACACACAAAAGCACTCCTTCCCTGAGACTGTCATGGCTGTAGGGGATACCGAACGTGTTCTTTCATTTCTTCAGCAGCCACCTGTTTGCTGGGCTGTGTGTACTTGCCATTCATACAAACACTGCCCTTTAAACCAGAATCCCAGAAGGAAGTGTCCTGTTTCTGCTGCTCATTCACACACAGCCCAGAGACAGACGCAGACACAAACACGTCTAGTGTTTACCAGCAACTGTCCACATGTGTGAGGCTTTTAGCTCAGCACTCTGCAGAAACTGCAAATATTTTGAGAAGAAGACAATATGCAGCAGCCATGCCATTTCCTGGGCCCTTCAGTTCCCACTGGTGACCGTCAGTGTTGTCTGAGGGCTGCGTCCCTTCAGCAGAGCTCAGAGCAGCCAGGTCACCAGGGAACATTCCTGTCCCTGCAGCCAGGCAGCCCTTGGGAACAGCCCTGGTTCTCCAAGGAAGGGTTGGGCTGTACTAGTTTTGTACCAGCACAGAACCCAGCCGAGGGCTGAGCTCTGGAAAGCCCTGGAAAGCTCTGGAAAGCTCCCACAGCTTCCCTCAGGGCTTCCCAGATAAACCCCCCAGATTCGGGCAGTGTTCTGTGGCACCCCAGGAGCCCTCCCACTGCTGCCTGGCACCAAGGACATGCGGAGTCAAGCAGCTCCCCTCCATGTAGGCAGGCAAACAAGGCTGCAGGAGCCAGGCTCCAGGGAAAGGCAGCACAGCCTTTCTCACACCTCCTCAAAACCCCAGCAGTGCCCAAAGCCAGCAGCTATTCAGGGCTTGGAGCCAGGACGCTCCTTCCCATCTTCTGCTCCCTTCAGACACAGCACTTGAGTGAAGTGGATTCAAAGAGCTGGCAAATGAGCACGAGTAATTACCGTGCTGTGCAGCACAAACCCTATTTCTCTGCCTCTACCTCAGCCCCACTATGCACTTTTCCAGTGGTCTATACTTCAAACTCATTTCACTGTACTAGGAAAAACTGGCTTTCATTTACAGTTCACAGCCCTTGCTCCATGTGGAAGGGATTTTCCTACCCTTTGTCTGTGCAGTGTTACTTCTTGGATGGGAATCAATCCTGGAAAACTTAGTCTGAAAAGCACTTTTTAAAAATGTTCTGATTTCTGACCAAAGGTAACCACAAGACTCTTGCAACTTTAAGCTGCATCAGTCCTGGCCCATCACCCGTCCTAATAGACAATTTACCAAAATATGTAACTCAAGGCGAACCAACAGTTGCAGTTCTTTCCTTCATGCCCACTGCTGGTTTATTGTGACAGCAGAGGGACGTGGCCCACTGCCATATGTCCCTGCAGCTCTGGGCTAAAGCCTCCCATTCCCTGTGAAATACAGCTGATATTTCCATCCACAGTAACCTATTTGCAAAGCATTCATTTGCTCCTTACTTTATGGGGAGCCACTAAAAGACTGCCATTTTATGACCCATTAAAAAAATGAAAAAATTAAATACAATTGTGAAAGACATTTGCTGGAAGTAATACATAATTTACCTCCAATTTTCACGCACTGAAAATTAAACTGGCAACTGCTCAAAAAGTTACTAAAATTATGGTGACAAAGGTATTTCAGAATCAAGTGCCTGCATTAAAATAGCAAAAATGCTGTACATAATAGGAAGGGAAAAAAAGGTCTATGTATTTAATGGACGCTCTCCCTTCCAAGCCCTGCCTCTGGATTACTGGATAGCTTAACTGTGTGGGCTCCATTTGACCAATGTCACTTTGAAACCCTTGGCACTGCTTGCTCAGGCACAACTAATATTCAGCCCTCCCTTCTCTCCAGCCCAAGCAGAGAGCCTAAGGCCAGCTGCATAAGGCAGGGAAAGTTCCCCTGGAGCAGGGCTGCAGCCCTGCCTACCACGTTCAGTGCAGTCCCGCTGTGCCACGGGCCAGCTGTGCCTGGGGAGCACTGGGACCAGTTTACTCCAGTCAATGGGAACTGTGCTGGAGACAGGACATGACCTGCAGTTGGGATAAATGGTCAGAGGTGTTTTCCTCCCACCAGCCACACAGACATAAAAAGGAGAACTGAGTATTCCCTGAGGACAGCAAAACCTGCTAATCATGGAAATCATTATGGCATTTGGGGATTCTGGTAAAGAATTAGTATAAACTCTTCCCCTAGTCTGTCCCGGTGTAGCTTAGCACTTATACAAATTCAGATTATGGTTCTTTAGGATGCCGTCCTGTTACTCCAGAACCCTTTATCTTTCCCAGCCACATGTGCAATACACTGGCCATCTGGGCTTAGCTTTTCATGGGAATGGACACAAGTGCAGAGAGAGCCAAAATTTCACTGCTGGGAAATGCTAGGGAATGTGAGAGAACTGGAAGCCAGCGAGGAATTAGCTCTGATCTCATGGAATGACAGGAACCTGCCATAAGAGGGTATGAAATGTCATTATTATGTTAAATTAGACTATTAATTCAGCTCGGGATCCTATGGCCACCACATAATGTGCAGCACTTAGTTCTGCTCACGCGCTCTTCGCTAACGCTCTGGGAACACTGTGTGCCCTAGGAGGGACGTGAAGGACTGTGCCAGAAATTACTACTGATCCTAACACCACAGCCATATGGCTGAGGGGGCAGTTAGCCTATACAATTCATTGAGGATGTTTCCATCTGTGAATAGTTCCCATTATAACCTAATTGTGTCAAACTAAATGTATTTCTAAAATATTTTCAGAAGTTAACATTTATAACAGATATTAAGCCTAATCCAGCCCTATTTTTGATTTCCCCCCACATGTGTTTATCTCTCTGGCTATTTTGGAGGGGAGAGGTTGTCCCATGTGAGTACCAGGGATTGGGAACCATACTCTTTTTTATTTTTGTTGGAACAAAATGCTTGTGTAGGGATAAAATAGACAGTGCTGAAATGCCCAATCGCAGTGAGTCTGCAAAGGAAGGAATTAGTGCCGGTGGAAGCAGTTGTGATGCACGGCAGCTCCCTGCCCAGTGCTGCAGGGGAAGCACAGCTGTTTGCAGTGAAGGATAATGCCAATATCCCATCAATGGGTGTGCATTAGCCATGGGCACTTCTGTGATGGGGGTGTACTGCATTCACCTGAGCACAGAGGCTCTGCAGTGGGGAAAAGAACAGGTAAACAGGTTAAAACAACCTGGCCTGGAGCTGGCATCCCACCAATTGGGGAGCAGCAGGAAGTCAAAAGGGGGAAGTGCAGCTTGCTGCCTTTTTTGCTGGTGCTGGGAATGGCTGCAGTTTGTGTCAGAGAGCTGCCTGGCTGCTGGGTTACAGTGAAGCTGGAAGAGGGCTGAGGAAGCCCAGAGCTCATCCTGGGGACTAGAACCTCCTCCTGCAGCAGCAGGAGCCTGCTTGCTCTCCTTCCCAAGGCACTTCCCAAGGTACAGTTGGGTTCTGTTGTGGTTTTGCTTTTTCATAATAGTGACCAGTGCTACATGGAGTGGGAAGTACCTCAGTCAACCTGCTGCCTCTTAGGGAAATCCAATCAAATCCTCATTTTAATTGCTCCCCTTGTCTCTGCACATGATTTTTCCAAGTGATATGTAGTTATAATATAGGTTTTAGACTAAGGATGAGACATAGCATGGTCCTTAGAACAACACTTGAATAGTGACACAAGCTGCTGAGCTCTTGAGTGGCTCAGTACTCTGCGCAAGCACTGCCCCTTACATTAATGACAAATTCAGCTCTGTGGCCAAATGACACCCCTGCTTTCATAGCCACAAAGGCCATGCCAAGGCTAGTTAGTGAACAGCACCACAGAAAGAGCTTGGTGTCACTTAGTTGGAAAGAGGACAGAAATGCTCTACACACCCACAAAATATTAATCCATTCCTGAGTGACCCTGAAAGCTACAGGAGACTGAGCTGCACTTTGCAAACACCCTTTCATTGGCACTGCTTGGTGCTTGCAACAGGTTTCCTAAAATGTTACCTCTCTCAGCAGAGGAAGGAAGTGACAAAACAAAAATAACAGTAAGGCTAAACCATAGCAAACAACAGTAAATATGTCCTCCTCTGGTTTTTGACTACTCATTTCTGTGTTACAAGGGAACTCAACTAAGCTCCCCACAACCTTTCTCAGCACTCATTAAGGCAGGTAAAGAGATGTTCTATTCAATTTAACGAACCCGACTAAGTTCTGGACCTGCT